AGTCACAATCCGTCGCCCACTTTCTAAGAGCGAGACAGTATGCAATACAATCTACATATAGGGGGGGGGGTACAAAAAAAGACACTTTGGCCGAGTCACATATCAGTAAAGTTTACGCAGCCCAGAGAGAAGACGTGGATACGGGTACCAGGGCGAAGATGCCCTAGAACGGAAGATACCCAGGTTTCCCGATAACCATTCTGCAAGAAGACCTACCATAGGTTTAAAACAGTAGATCCAATGTGGCCTGAAGTGCGTTTAAGCTTGTTCTCCCCCCTTGGAACACACGTCAAAGGGTTTCGCACTGAATCAGTGAGATATTCATGTTCAGCGGGCCAAATTGCATTTGGCGATAAGTTTCTGGTCAATTAGAAACAAAGAAAAACAAACATTGGGGAAATGCATACACTCCACAGCACAGATGATCCGCTTGTCGATCGAAATCGATTCTGACTCACGAAGGGTATTCTACGGGTAAGTAGCAGCAAAGAGGTCGTCACCTAGCATCGATGCCCATTCATAAGGTGGAATTTCTCCGGTAATCAGGAAAATGGTGAATCTGCTGCCAACATGTGAGCAAGATACTGTTCTTTGCGGAAAGACATGACCAAAGAGCTAATCCAGCTCAATGACCGGTAACAGGAGAGAGTCATCGGTGACAGGGTTCACCAACTATCATCTGAAGACTACTATTAAGCCATGACCAGCCCAGCCCCTCTTTTTTCAAAGCTCAGTCAAAATATCGGATTTTTTTAGTGTAGGTCTAGGTGTTATTGGATTGCCTGAACACGTATGTCACAACCGTCCTGCGCGAAGATCGTTGTGTCGCGCTACAGGTGCCAACGCTTTGGCTCCAGCGCGCTCTGAAGAAAAAAATACCATCAGGGATAACTCCCATGACTCCGTTTACGGAACGGTGCAGTAACAATGAAGATCATCCGACTTAACCGTCTCGAGGTACAACCGTGTGCACCTCGCAAATGATCGGACGGCACTTACTTATTTGTCTCACCAGGAAAGGTCAACAGGTCGCCATGGCCATTCAAGATGAGATGCATATCGACGTGTGCGTCTCGGGACGCTGAACTCAAATCTGCTTTCAAAATTTGCCGAACGATTCTCTATGAGGAGTTAGGGGGGGGTCGTTCTAGCATAGCACTCGCCGATCCTCCTTTGCGTAGCTCAAGTTAAGTTCGAGTATACACAGCCTCAAGTGGTCGGTGGGTTGCTTCATAGATGGGAGGTCATGGGTTCGATTCCTTGACAAGTTCCATTTTTGCATTTTTTCGGAACATCTTCTGCGAGTTCAGAAAATACTTTTATCCGTTATTTTGTCAAGCTTGCTCTTACTTGCAGCAGGAAAAGACTTAAGTGCCGGCAATTGTGCTTCGCTTTCAAGACTTTTAGGCAGTGTTTACCCTTTACTGCCCAAATCACCCGAAATCAGGCCAGTTTTTGACCGACTTTTTTCTTCGTAAGCAGAATTGGCTGAAAAGTTGCCTACTAGGGTAGTCTGCCCTTCTGAACATGATTATCACATCCGCTCGGCACGAAACCTCCTAGCACCCGTGCCACAGGCGCCAGCGCCAAAATACCCTGAATCACCAAGTTCGCTGAAAACTTGTCAACTGGGGTAGTTTGACCCCCTCATTCCATTAGCTCAACCCGAAACGCCTGGAGCCGGCGCCAAAATACTCGTATTCACCAAAATCGCTAAACTTTTCAACTGGATCAGTTTGACCTCCTAAACACGAACATCACATCTGTATGGGGCGTTAAGGATAGAGAAAAGGGGTAAAGTGATTGGCAATCTGCGTCTGCACCCCTCTCCTGATGGGGACCTTTCTCTGCTAAGGCTGAGTCTTAGCAAAGGGAAGGATTTCCATGACCGGCAACCAGGAAGAGTGCTCCGTTACTTCCGCCAGTTTGCCCAACTGCCCTAGCACACCAGCCCCGCATGAAAGCGACTGCAGTCTGTGCTACACGCGCCGGAGTCGGAACAAGCATGTGATGGGTCGCTTGTGGCGTATGCGTCAGGCGGTTTCAGACTGTACGGATGTGATATTCGTGTTTAGGGGGTCAAACTACCCCAGTTGACAAGTTTTCAGCGAACTTGGTGATTTAGGGTATTTTGGCGCTGGCGCCTGTGGCACGGGTGCTAGGAGGTTTCGCGCCGAGCGGATGTAATAATCATGTTTAGAAGGGCAGACTCCCCTAGTAGGCAACTTTTCAGCCAATTCTGCTTACGAAGAAAAAAGTCGGTCAAAAACTGGCCTGATTTCGGGTGATTTGGGCAGTAAAGGGTAAACACTGCCTAAAAGTCTTGAAAGCGAAGCACAATTGCCGGCACTTAAGTCTTTTCCTGCTGCAAGTAAGAGCAAGCTTGACAAAATAACGGATAAAAGTATTTTCTGAACTCGCAGAAGATGTTCCGAAAAATGCAACTTGTCAAGGAATCGAACCCATGACCTCCCATCTATGAAGCAACTTACCTATCCACTACACCACCGACCACTTGAGGCTGTGTATACTCGTACTTAACTTGAGCTACGCAAAGGAGGATGGGCGAGCACTATGCAAGAACGACCCCCCTCCCTAACTCCTCATAGAGAATCGTTCAGCAAATTTTGAAAGCAGATTTGAGTTCAGCGTCCCGAGACGTACACGTCGATATGCATCTCATCTTGAATGGCCATGGCG